GGACCAAGTGGCAGTTGTTTCAACAGAACAAGATAATACTGTTTGGTTTAAAATAAGGGGATTTTCAATTCTTTCACCATACTTATTCAACTTGTATGCTTAGCAAATAATTAAAGAAGTTGCACCATATGAAGAAGAACATAGCTTTGGGATTAATGGAAGGCTGATTAATTACCTGTGATATGCAGATGTCACAACCTTGCTCGCTTAATATAAAGAAGACTTGAAGCACTTGCTGATAAGGAACAAGAACTGCAGTCTTCAGTGTGGTTTACAATTCAATGTTAACATTATCAAAGGCTTTAAAACAGAAAAATGAAAACATGAAAACATGAAAAATACAGAAAATATTGAAGTTGTCAAGGATAGTTTTGCTTGAATTTGTATTCCATACTCAGGGAAACAGCAGTCAAGAAAGTAAAGAACCAGTCTGCTGCACAAGACCTCTTGGAAATGTTGAAAAGCAAGGATGTCACTTTGAGTAACAAGTTGTGCTGGACCTAAGATATGGTATTTTCAATGGCTATATTTTCAATATGCATGTGAAAGTTGGACAGTGAATAAAGAAGACAGAAGGAGAATTGATGCATTTGAATTACGGTGTTGGCAAAGAGCAGTGAAAGTACCATGGGCTATCAGATGAAAAAGCAAATCTATCTTGAAAGAAGTATGCCAGCAGTTCCTTGGACTCAAGCACGATAAGATTTTATTTCATGTACTTTGGATATGTTCGGATAGACCAGTCTTTGTAAAAGGATATCATGCTTGGTAAAATAGAAGGTAGGCAAAAAAAGGAGGAAGAGCATGGATGAGATGAGTTGACATAATGTCTGAAACAATCAACTCAAACATATAAACAATTATGAGGATGGTGTAGGACCAAGCAGTATTTCCTTCTGATGCAGACAGGGGCACTATGAGGTGGATTTGGTTTGATAGCAGTGCACTTGGTTATGATGGTGTGGGATGCAAAAATAGTATTATGTTTGATAGTGGTGAAATCTCTGAAGAGAAATAAATGTGGGAAAAAAGAGTTCATGAGAGCTGGGTGGGGTCAAGGATACTCTTTCATGAAGGATCATTAGAGAAATTTTCTCTGAAATGGGACATTTTAGCAGAGACCAAATCACATGCTGAAAATGTTAGAAACAAGGGAAAAAAGAGTATTACAATTCTGAGGTCAGATCACACTTTTTCTTCTTCTCCGGAAACAGAATGTGGCCTGAGGGGGGAAGAGATACATGACTCCAGGTTTTCTATTATTGATTCACTACATCACATTGTTTCCAGGTTTAAATAAGTCACCATATATACTTGAGTATAAGTCGACTCGGATATCAGCCGAGGAACCGATTTTACCACAAACACTGCATAAAAAATGTGTTGAAAGAACTCGGCTTATACACGAGTACATACGGTAATCCTCTGAAAGCACTTGGGTGTGTGTGACACAATAAAGAAGCAACACCACGAACAAGATTGACATTCTCTGGCAAGTCTTGTATAAGTAAATGTCACCTCTGTTTGTTGTAAATGATTGAAACACCCGTCTTTCCAGTGAATGATTAGAGGTTGACATTCACCTAGAGACACATTCTTGGAAGAGAAGGCTGGTGATCAACTTTTGGAAGGTCAGCTAATGGAAACTCAGACATACGCTGGGCTGCTACCAACAAGGAGAGCAATGATGGCAACTGGTGGTGGATTCTGGAATGCCTTGAAAGACTTCTCATTGCTAGAAGAAAGGTGTTCAAACCTCTTTATCTACTGTAAACATAGTTATGAAATTTTGGCTCAAGTATATTTTCTAACCCTTATAATTAGGGATTTTCACATAGTCAATGAGCCTAACCCCTTGCTTCTCAAAAACACTGTCAAAATTTAAACCTCCAGTGATGCACTGCCATTCCTCTTCCACTTGATTCTTTATAAATTCTCTGGGGAAGATATCTCTTTTATAATTCTTCATTCTTCATACTTCCCCCTGCTGGTGCTTAGCATGCAGTGATGGAGCTCCCAAACTAGAATTTCTAAGGGAGAGAATTTGGACTATATGACTAATATGAATATCCCAAGCAGTGAGGTGGCTTTATTTTGCTTTGTAGACAATTCAAAGGTCCCCTGTCATTTTTCTGTAGACATCATATTAATATCTTCCCTGTAGACATAGTCCCTTGAGCCCCTGATTCCCTGAGGGTGTTCATGCCAACTTACTGAAAACATCTCCCATGTGCTGTACAGGGTTGAGCCTGGGTACTTATTAAAATATGTCATTTCCAGATGGCATCTTCACATTTCATATCTTCCTAGACACTTGAAAAAGCTGAGTGGAATGACAAATCCATATTTACAGGGTATCTAATTTTTATATCAGAGATTTTTAATTTTATAATCTGCCTTGCTATAGGAAGTTAAAGAGTCTGAGGGCTAGTTTCTTCAGGCATGTGTGTGAAATGATATTCTAAATTACCGTCAAGAGATCAGGTACGTGAATTGACCCCAGAAGCCTGGAAAACATGTGCAAACTCACTGTGTGGTACAATTCACTGTGTTGGTCTCAATGGTCTAGCCTGGATGTACATTCTGGTTAGTTTTGTGTTTGACACTAAAATGTCTTTGAAGATTTATGGACCAGGGAATATTAGAATGACGAGGCTTTTTTCTCTGTGTGTCTTAGTTTCTTCACCTTCATCTACTGGGGATTTCAGCATCAGCTGACAAGTTCATCCCATTCAAGCTCAAAGTCACATGCACATATGAAGGGAATTCAAAGAGTTGGTGGGAAAATGGAGTTAGAAGCTAATGGATTTTTCCACTAATTTCTTGACATCTCCTTAGATAGTGTGGCTTTTCTTTGTTTTTAATTTTGAATTGGGTAAGGCTCAGAAAATGATAGCTTAATGGGTTTTCCCACTGTCAGCAGCAATTACTTTCACACAAGATTCCTACACAAGTGACTACATTTTAAAAACAAAATCTGTATTAATGGTTTCTATACTTCATTACCTTTTTAACAAGGACTTGAGATAACAAATATATATACATATGTTCTAGTTTCAACATTATACAACTCTTCCATTTCTAAATATTATTGCGTGGTTTTAAGTTCCTTTTATCTTTCATGAGTAAAAAGTAACAAAACAATAAATGATCTGAAAATTTTATAAATTTAGAAATATTAAATTCTTTAAAATTTTACTACTTAAAATTGTTTTGAAAATACTTATCTCAACTCAAACATATCAATACCTTTCTTCATGAAGGTTCATTGTTCTGGAGAACACCAGAGGTCTATAACGTTCTCACCAGAGCAGAGAGTGGAGATTTCTCACCAGGGGAGAGAGCTGTTAGGCTTTCCGTGCGTGCTTCTCCTAAAGCACACGCAGTGAACATGTTTGTGGGATTGAGCTCTTGGGATGCCTGTGAGTATTTCCTAGTCCAGACGCATGGCTCTCCGCCTCAGTGATCTCATTTCATCGCCATCCTCAATGACTTTCAACTCCTTTCTCTTTCATCCCCCTTTTTACCCTTTAATTTTTAATTTTGAAATAATGTAAGATTTAAAGGAGGTTTTGCAGAAAGTACAGGGAGGTTCTATATGCCTCTCACGAAATTTTCTTGAATGGTTACTTCTTTTGCAACTGCAGGGCAACATCAAACCAGGATATGGACACTTGTATAACATGTGCACGTGGTTCTATGTTATTTTATCACTTGTGTGGGTTCTTGTGACGTCACTATAATCAGGATAGAGAAATGTTGAACCACCAGAAAGAACAATTTCTCTTCCATTCCATTGTAATCCCACCCTCAAACGCTCCTACTAACCTTGATTTGTGGCAGCCATGAACCTATTCTGCATATCCTCAATTTTGCCATTGCAAGAGTATTAAGTAACTTAATACTTAATACTCGGTGCCTGAAACCTTTTATGGAAGCCTTTTTTAAGCTCAGCATAGTATCCTTAATTTCTGTCCAAGTTGTCTGGTGAATCAATGTTACTGATAAGTAATATTTCATAATACATAAGTGCCACATTTTGTAACCATTCACATATTGCAGGACGTTTTGGTTTCTTACCCCTTC